GCCGCGTTGCTCTATGGTTTAAATTTTCAGAACAAAAATGGTAGTTCTTGTTTTTGCCTTGATTGCGACATTTTAAGATTTATTTTTTCTACCTCTCTCTTCTGACATGAACAGAACCCTTTTGATACGTTCTTCGCTCTCATACTTTCCCGTTTTTAAAGATCATGGGGTCAAGTAGTTTTTAGGTTTCAATGAATATATATTGTGACATAGTCTCTCTCTATGCTTTAAAGTGGCGCACGTACTGAAAAGACTCATTTTATGCAATCTTAATCAAAGATGAACCGACTTAGATAAAACCTATTCTAACGTTCTTCGAAAGTCGGTCTAATTTTGAGCCCATGTTCCAAGTAATATCTTAAGACAAATTTACTCTGGGCATGTTATCACAAGTCCAATTTTGTATTGGTCTTTGGATGCCTAGTTCCATATTTTTTATAAAAAACAAATATACTTGACTAAGAAGCTTAAATAATGCTTTGCTTTTTAATATCCAAACATTTGTACTGTAAACACAAATCTTTAAGTTACAGGGGTAATAAGATACCTATTTCCAATAAAAATACCCTAAATACAAAAAAAAAAACAATCGCGTACGATGAGCCCTCTGAAATTTGGGTATTCCCAAAACTTTCCCTGAAATAACTACAGCATAGTTCTGATTAGGTTTACTTACAAATTTTGTGAAAACAGACCAGTCAACAAGTAAAGACATTAAAGAAGAAGTGAATCTAGTAACAGTAATAATTGTACTAATTAATTTGCCAAGATGGATGTCTATTTCTGGAAAACTACTGAAGATTGTAGGGCAATTAGCGATTATGTAGCGATCCTTTATTAATAGTCCGATAGACACAGACGGCCTTTAAACATTTGCTATTGGCATTTGAAGTATAATTAATTCATTACCAGCTTATTAATGTCACCACTGCTGGGTCACATGCCTTCTCTATGAATGGAATATAGATTGGGCCATGCATGACCCACCACGCGACCCCAGTGTGGATTGGTAGGTGCTAACAACTTAACGTGCCTTCCGAAACAAGGAGGAGCTCAGAATAATAAGGTTTTGGTCACCCATACAATCACCGACCATTGCGAAAGTTGCATAACTGGCACGATCGCAAGCCAAACGCTCTATCCATCTGCGCCATCGATCTCCTCAAGTATAATGTGAATAGGTATCGATCAAGAACAATTTATTCTTGCTTGTAGGCTTTGTTTGGTCAAAGCTTTGTTGGTGTTTTATTTTTATTTTAAGGTAATCGTGTCACAATTGTAAAAAAAATGTGTTCTTCTTATCCTATACCTATAATTTGCTAAATGTGCATTCACCAGGGGAGGGAGAGTCCTGGTGCTCTGAGATACAGGCTTTCTGCCTAGTTCAGGCACCAGTCTCTCGCAATCTATTTTATTGTTCTGTAATAAAATTATAGTATAACAAGTTGTCATGTAATTTGTAGATTGTGGAAGAACAAATAAAGATTATTATTATTATTATTAATTGTATCCGCTTATCTGATCTTTACCACACCTTTAACCGACTTCAAATAACAAAGGAGGTTTTATGTTCGTCGGGATTTTTTTACTACCTAGATTTGTTGCGACAAAACGTAAATCATCATTGTCCTTTTCCAAAGTTCCCGACTAATCATCTGATGAAAATCCTGAACAAAATTATTCTAATTGCCGTGCCTAATTTTTATATTATTTTCCTAGAAAAAGTGGCAAATAAACAAGCATTAATGCCAAGGCACAATCTCAAAGCTGCAAGACAAAATCATGGGTATAGTTTATAATTGTATGTGTCATGGTTGTAAAGTAGACTATACCTTAAGTGTCGCCGCACACGGGCTACTTACCACAACCACAAAACGCCGCCACCGGCATATTTTTTGTAGTTTTTATACATTTTATATGGACTCGCCACACACGGTACGCCCCGGTGGCCGCTACACGCTACAAACCGCACCGGCCACTTAATGCGCCGATATAAAACGCCGCAACACGTCACTTGCGTGATTCCCCGCCCCTCTCTCCCTTACCTTAGTCGGCCGCTGTCGCGCGCTTCAGCCACTTTAGTAGTCGCTTCTAGCTTCTTGTGGTGGCGTTTGTGGCTGTGGCTTGTGGCCTGTGTGCGGCGACACTAAATTAAATCTAAACAAGTCTGTGATAACAATGCAAATTAGGTATTTCTCTCGACGCTCTGGACTGCTTGCAGATTCTCACGGTGTTCGCTTCATTGGCGATGTAGATACGATTAACAGCGTCGAGGCTCTCGTTAGGTCATTAAGCGCGTTCCGTCGTCTGTAGTACAGCTGATTTTCTGAGGGGGTATTCAGATTTTTCCCTTTTAAAACCACGCTTGAAGGCCTGCCTAACTGACTGACTCAGTAATTCAATTAAAACTTGGCCTGGCTTGATTCTAACATGATTTCTAAACTTTAAACTTAATTCGACAACAGTCTCTCCTTATCATTATAAATTGCAATTAGCATGATAAGGACAACTATTGTCAGATTTAAGTTTAGGTTTAGAGAATCATGTCAGAATTTGGCCAAATGTATCTTCAATAAACGACTACGACGATTAAGCGACTGACGAGTTCTTTCACTGAGGCCGCTAGGAATAATGTTCATATAAGTACCTCATGTTAAACTCAGTAGAACTGCATAAAACAAGTCGAACTATCACAAACAGAAATCCCGCACAGTAAGTAATTGGACGATGTAGTTCGACATGGTACTATGATGTATGGGTACTTTTAAAAAGGCAAACTATATCCTCACTTTGTACTCGAATAAAACATACGCATTGTTTCGGTAATATTTTATTCAGCCATTTGTTATAAATATATTTTTTCTTTGTGTATTTTTTTTAATCCAGTTTTAATTAGGAAATGTACAACATTGGAAGTAACTTATAAATAAAATTCCTAACTTACTCCTAGAATAGGGTATATTTACAATATTTTTAAAATAACATACAATAAGATAAGATATACTAAACTGGACTAGTTAATCAAAAGCTTTGTGTCGAAATCGAAGACTGGAATTTTCTGAAAATTAAAAGCATAAAAGAACATAGAAATACATAATTAAGTAAGAGTAGGTACTTTTTCTCCTATTTTTTTTATCTTAGTAGAGCAAAATAGACGACACATGAAATAAGTTAATTTTCTTGCATAAAATACGTTATTAACTAACACTTTCAGTATTTCACTTTTAGCCGCACTCGGAAATATCAAATAAAATTCATGCTTGTTAAAGTAATGTAAACCTTTAAGTTATCTTAACCCATTGCAATTGTTAATGGTCGGATCACATTATACCATTAGCATTCCAGCGATTAAACCAAGTGCTGGAATGCTATTGGAATAATGTGATTCGACACTAGAAACTGGAATTCCCATTCCAGTTCCAGTCCAGTGACTGCATTGACATTCTACTTTTCATTCTAGTTCACCCATTCCAGCACCAAGTTGCCATTCCAGTATTTCTAGTACTGGATTGAATGTTTGACAGTGAAAATTTTCTAGCTACTTTTTTGTAACAATTGTCACTGTAAATCATGGGTTCCCAACGTTTTATTGGTCAGGGACCATTTTGACATTATTTTGTTTGGCACGGACCACTATTTAGTCACTAAATAACAAAATTTTAGTGTAATAAAAATAAACTGCAATTATCAAACTGAAACTTTAATTAAAAATCTAAGATGAAATTAAATAAAAAGTAATAATATAATAACATTTTTAGCGGGTGCGCCCGCTAAATTCAAATTCATTCGCGGACCATATTTTGGCGTCTGCGGACCACTGGTGGTCCACCGACCACTGGTTGTCCACCGACCACTGGTTGGGAACCATTGCTGTAAATAAAACAAGTTTCAACGGTATAGATGCATTGATTTATTTATTTATTGACGTTTCGCATCCTTTTCAGGATTCGTTGTCTGAAATATCCTGAAAAGGACGTGAAACGTCAATAAATATATACCGTTGAAAAAACTTGTTTTTGTTTTGAATGACAAATTTACGCATCCTTCAACCACTGGGGGATCGAGAGGTATGTGGGACTCCTCCCTGCTCATTTCAGCCAGCCCTTAGTCCGGGTGAAATGAGCAGGCCCCTACCTAACGCCCTGAACAGGGCCACTAAAAACCAGACAATACTCCTGCACCGGTCACCTGGCGCACATTCTGAGGACCGCAGTCCCCCCAACACGGTTCCCAACTTAGGGGTTTTGTCCCCAGATTTAGGGGCTAGAAGGGTTCAAACGGATTTTTTTAGGGGCTGGAATTTTTTGGGGGTTCTTTTAGGGGCTTTTAACAAAACTTGCAATTAAATCGAAAAACAAAGCGTGTGTTTTCTTTCAGTTTTTGCGTAGAATGGAACGCACCACGATATGAAACGACTGAACTGACTGTGTGGCAAATTGTTTCCTAGGCTGTATGGACTAAAGTTTTTTGCTTTCCACCAATCAAAACAGCTAAATAAGATTTAACAGCCTGTCAGCTCATTTTCGTTTGATTTTCCATTCGGAAAATGTATTTATTCAATAAAATAATTTACTGTAACTAAATATACTGTAACGTTTTAATTTATGAGCAACGAAAGAATTTAGGTAATAAGATAAGTAGGTACATATAAATTTCTATATTTAGGGGATTTTAGGGGAATTTAAAAAATACTTAGTGTAAAATTTTGGTAAGGGTTGGTAACACTGCCCCCCAATGCACGCCGGGAGGCATAAGGACAAAGTATCCATTGCCAATAAATTAAAAAAAAATGCACGCCGGGAGTGCGGGTGTGGTCGCGGCAACCGTTGCCGACTGTCCGCGCACTTGTGCGTGCAAACCTAAGAAACAAATTTGTCACTAATAGTCTTACCAGTTCAACAATATAATCCAGTCCAGTACTGAACTGGGTTGATCCGCCGTATTACTGGACTACAATAATGTGATAGCTTATTGAAATCGAAAGCATCAACTTTGATCACACTTAAACGTTATTTGAAACTTTAATACAATACATGTTAAAATTTTATTGACTTTCCTGAGTGCGACGATATTTAAAACATAAAATTTTATTTACATTCATTAAGTTTGGACTAGCGTTCGTAAAGTTTTCAGCTTACGCTGCTTCGCTGCATCAGGTGGCCAGTTCTGGTGATTGAGGGTCCTTCTCTTTGGAAGCTGGGCTGCCGGTGGGCTCCGGGCCCTCTCCGCTATTACCGCTGATTGCCACTGAGGTAAGCGGCACCTAGGAAATGGAATATCAATGAAATAAAATCTTAACAGTAGAACACGGCATTCCTAATCTATGTGTTAAATCAGTTTTTTTTAATTGTATAGTCGTAATTTTTATATCATTTACATTTGTAATAGGGCTCATCAAAACCGGGAGGAGCCCGATAGCACAGGTGGCTAGCGCGTTCGGCTGCGATCGTTGAAGTTAAGCAACTTTCGCAGTGGTCGGTCATTGGATGGGTGACCAAAAATCTACCATCTCGAGTTCCTCCGTGCTTCGGAAGGCACGTTAAGCCGTTGGTCCGACATTTGTAATTGAAAGTGACCTTGAGTTATTTCATTTTGAAGTCATTTTTCAATTTAGCGACTCTGTATATAATACAGGGGGAAAAAAACTTGCTGATAATCTAAATAAAAGTTTACTAGAAAAACAATCCATGCGGACCAGGCAGCAGACGGGACTCGAACCCACACCCCTCGCTAAACAGGCGTATTTAAAAAACATAACCCTTGCTGAGTTTCTTTTCGGGTGTACTCAGTACAAGGTCACAAGTGCTAGTAACAACCTACACTGAATAAACGATATTGAATTTGAATATCTAAACATTAAAATTAATGCCTATTACCCTTGGTCCCGCCATAAGGCGCCCTTTTCACCTGGTCGGTGCGGGCTCATTTCGTTTCTGTACCGAATCTGTACAGATTCTTTACTGAGGACATGTAATTAAATGAGAGCTTCTTCACAGAGTCGTTTCGGTACAGAATACGCCATTTGTTTATTAACGGATATTGGTGTTGGGAGCTTGGAAGCTTTTGTATTGTTGGCGACCAGAGGCCCAAATAGAGTTTCTCGCTATTGCTATCCTCTTCAGTTGCATAAAGGGAAAAGAGATAAATGTCCCATTATTGTTTTTTCTTTGAATGGGAAAAAGGAAGAGACCACGTTATATTATTGCCTTCCGGGTATCAATTCTATTATGTGAACGTAATTAATCCTGTACCACTCTTCTTAATTTTATCTCTTTTTGACGCAGTGTGTGTTACTAAACCACAAATAAATATAATATTAGAGACTAGTGGCCCGCCCTCGCTTCGCTTCGGTGTAGAGCTGTAGTGTAAACTATGGTATTTGTTCTCAGGCTTGTGCTATAAAGAATGACTTCATTTATATAATTAAGATTACACGTGATATTGTGAGTCAACCATAAAAGATAGATATATGCTGTTGCGGGATATTTTTTAGACAATTTTATGTAGAATATTTCCGTCATACATGATTTCTATGTAACTTAACCCATTAAGGCTGCACCCGCGACGGAAGCTTAAAAAATGTAGTAACTTCTCCCGTTTTCCCAACATTTCCCTTCACTACTCTGCTCCTATTGATTGTAGCGTGATGAAAAGTATACTATAACCTGCCCAGGAGTATGAAGAATAATTGTACCAAGTTTAGTTAAAATCCGTTGAGTAGTTTTTGTTTCTATAAGGAACGTATGTTCCTGTTTCTGTCTCTGTCTGTCTGTCTGTCTGTGTGTATACACAGACAGACAGACAGACAGACAGACAGACAAAAATTTTATTGATTGCATTTTTGGCATCAGTATCGATCACTAATCACCCCCTGATAGTTATTTTAAAAATATATTTCATGTACAGAATTGACATCTCTACAGATTTATTATAAGTATATATAGATAGGTCCGCTGCCTGGTCCGCGTGGATTTTTTTCTAGTAAAAACTTTTCTTTAGACTTAAACATCTAGCAGTTAAATGCTTAAAAAAAACATAACTATAATTGCTATTTCTTCTTTCAAATGTATGTATATTTAATACTTGAAAAAGTATTCATTTGACATTGTGGGTTACCTACAATGCGAAGAGATGGCGCTGCCTTGCAGCTTAAGGCTAAGAACATTTCCACGCGGCCATCAGGACCATGGTAGCATAATTGGTCAGTGCATTCGCCCGGATTGCGAAGGGTGCGGGATCGAGTCCTGTCCGCTGCCTGCTCCGCGTGGATTTTTTTGTAGTAAAACTTTTCTTTAGATTTAAACATCTAGCAGTTAAATGCTTAAATAAAAAAAAACTTAAATTAGAGGTACTTAGCAAATATTGTCCACTCTTATTTGTGGCTCTATGTTTTAAGCGCGGTGCAAACGACGTTAATTATTTTTCAACACATTTACGTCAAAAAATGAATTTTCTGAGGTTTTATACATTGATCGAAAGTTCAAAATTACGGGTCATACAATGGAGCGTGCGGTAAAACGTTTTACCGCACGCTCGCATGCATGGCGCCGTGCGTATACTTTACGTTTTTTTTATTTCGGTCGGGTCTTTTCCTCCCTCTTGCACCCTGGGATCCTTTAAAGAGGCGTGAAGAAGCAACATGCAGGCCGTCAGGGTGAAGATGGCTGGTGTGGCAGGTAGAACTGCTGTATCAACTATCTTCGCGTCTGGAATTCACCTTCACTTAACATCAGACGGGGTGGAGTCATTTATCGGACAAAAAAAACTTTGGAAACGCATTTAATCTCTATACGATAGTTTCACTTTAATACAAAAAAAGAAAAAGATGTAGTTCTAATTTTCACCACCCACACGTGGCGCCATTTGGAAATGCGCCCCATTTTCTTATTAGAAATAGTTTACTTCATTACTTATATTAGGTATAGGTACTCGCAAATGTGTTGAAAAACGTTGTATGACATTCGTGCGGAATTGGTATTTGCAATTCGAGATTCAGCCCTCGATTTCGTCTCGGGGTTACATAAGACCCGGGGGCCAATCGCCTAACCAGATTGCTTATGAAAACGCTAACGCTTACGATTTCATTTTGTTATTTCTAGCCCCCTGGGGTTTTCAAATGCCACGCGTCTTTTGTTTTCTTTTGCATTGTTAATAACAATATTTAAAAAAATGAGCGTGAGGTATTTGAAAACCTTCGGCGGTCAGAAATAACAAAATGAAATCGTAAGCGATAGCGTTTTCCAAAGCAATCCCGTTAGGCGAATGGCCCCCAGGACTACATACATTAAAGGATAGTCGAATAACCAACAATGGGATCCCGGTTCGACGTAGACTTTGATCATCTGCACGGAAAGTTAGCCACTCTGTTCTCAATAAAAAGTTGGCTGGGCTTTAGTACGTCATACACACACGTACAACTTTTTTATGCGTCGTTTCACGCGGTCGGATCCACCGACCGGCCGACAGCTAATTTCCTCTCGTCACTGATGCTTTGTGATGGAGCCCGGAAAAGGGAAAGCGGTTTACCCTTTCTGCTTTTGCGTTGCGAACATCCTCTATTGTAACGTTGCATAATTGAGCCGATATCAAATGATAGAGGCTGTTCAAATGTTCATCCCATTGTTTTCGAAATGAGAATGGCTACTCCTTTTATTGGAGATGACGAAGTTTTGATATTGATGGTATATCACGTATTATTTTCTTTGCTGTATTGAAGTTTAGGTAGTTTTTAAGGTTCTATACATTTGCCTGTCTGTTAGTGGGTAGAAATTTTCACAGTATGTGTGTTATTTTTGTGCTTTATCTTCAAATTATAATATGACAACAATGATTGAAATTAAAGCTTAGGTTTCTATAAATAAAAATGTTACTAAGCACGCTTTTTCGTACGGTAAGCTTCTCTGCCGCTACGTCAACACACGTATTACTGCCGCAACTATAGAAACATTCATCTAATAATGACCTCGCTGCTTACCATTAAACGGCAGAGCAGGTCTGATCATCTGACGGCCTCGGTGGCGGTGAGAGATCGGCGTCATACCGCAAGTCCAGTTGCACCATGTAAGCGCTAGGGTAGTCACTGACACCGTCAGCTGTGTTGCCGCTACGCCTACACACGTCTTACTGCCACAATAATAGAAACATTCATCATCATTGGCCTATTAATGAGCCCACTGCTTACCATTGAAACGGCGGTGCATATCTGAGCGTCTGACGGCCTCGGTGGTGGTGAGAGAGCGGCGTCGTACCGCAAGTCCAGTTGCACCATGTAAGCTGCCGCCGCTAGGGTAGTCACTGACACCGTCAGCTGTGCTGCCGCAACGCCAACGCACGTCTTGCTGCCGCAACTATAAATAAATAAATATTATTAATAAAAGGTTAAGGATATCAGGCCCGTCACACCGTACTTATTATCTGATGGACAAAATATAGTGTTCGGTGTATCAGTCTGCGTGGGGTTTTAACGGAGAAATACACTGTTTAAACTGTTAAATATTTTATTTTACTCCACAGTAGGACACCAAGTTACACACTTATATTTAGAAAAGTGCAATTTAAGTCAAAGCAAAATGTATAAAAATGTTATTGATAAAACTATTTTAATATGTAATTAACTGTTATAAAAATGATCCCAATTTATGTTATAATAATGTTAACGAGTACAACTAATTGCTACCGCGAAATGTTTTGCACTGAAGTGTTAAAGTGCACGGCGGACTATGACCCAGTTACTGCGAGCGCGCGAGCCGCCCCGTGTGTCATCCTAATATGTCGCAATACCTTAGTTTTCGTTTTTGAACTGAACATATAGATAATCGAGAAGTATTAGTGTGTACACTGAAAGTATTAGTGTGTACACTGAACGTATACATACTCGCTGACTTGAGCTGTGGGCTAATTTTCAGGTATCAGGTGGCACAGGTACGTAAAACTTGTAATCACTTTTATTACAGTCTGAGTACTGATTTTTATGTATGTTCTTTTGTTAAGAATATTGCAAAAAAATTGTAATTAATATCGCCAGACATATTAAGTCAGCAGTATTTAATGCCAGACACTTTAAATGTCGAAAGCAAAAATCACAAACTTACAGTTACAGTCGAGGTTATTATTTTATTTTGTAAACTGTCAGACCCATCTTAGGGCCCAATAATTCCCTAAGCTTATTTTAAGTGCCACAGTGAGAAAATGCGTGCTCATGGTAATTAAGTGTTTTTTGATACAGCTTCACAGATATCTTGTAAATAGTGTACAGGAAGCCTTTGATAATATATAAATAATTTCCTTTTATCTAATTATCAAATTCAAGAAAAGATTATTGCGGATAATATGTAGTTATAGAGAAACACTATCTATATATATAAAAATGAAACCCGTTTTCCGTTGTCACGACATAACATGAAAACGGCTTGACCGATTTGGCTGTTTTTTTTTTGTAGTTTTCTAATACTCTGTACAAGGTTCTTACGGAAAAAAATATAAAGAAAATCCCAAGGGGATAAAATAAGGAATGAAAGTTTGTATGAAACTTTATCAATTTTAAACCGATCGGGCTGAGACTTTGCATGCAGGTATAAGAAGAATCATAGATGAATGTCATTGTGTATAATACAAGCCTGAGAACAAAAACTGTAGTCTACACTTCAGCTCTACACCGAAGCGAAGCGAGGGCGGGCCGCTAGTTGTTTAATAAAAGTTGTACGAGCAAGCGCGTACATCGCAGATGCAGCAGTTCGCACGCTTAAAGGAATGCTGACTTATTAGTACTTAAGACATACAGACAAAAAGTTGTCCTAAAGCCATATATATTATTCTATTCACATAGCTTCATAAATATCGCTGTCATTAACACCTTACTTTAAAAATAGACACGTACCTAGTAAATAAAAAAATGTGCAAAAACCTAAATAGTGTATGTAATTCAACGTTGAACTAAGTACTAATAGGTCAGTATTCCGGCCGCCCGCGACTTCGTACGCGTGGAGTTAGTTAGAAATAAAGGTTCACTGCTCGTTCCCCGTAGGTGAAAGCGTGATAATATGTAGCCTATATGTTGACCCGACTTCTTAATAATATTCGTGCCATATTTGAAGTAAATCCATACAGTACTTTTTGAGTTTATCCCGGACATACATAAAGACAAACAGACAAAAATTCTAAAAACTATATTTTGGCTTCGGTATCGATTGCAGATCACACCCCAAGTATTCTTTAAAAAAAATATTCAATGTACAGTTTTGACTTTCCCACCATTTTATTATATGTATAGATTAATAATTTATTTTATATTGTTCAGTTCGCATTCCGTCATCAACCACCACGTGATCTCATTAGGTTAATCAGTTTAATATTTAAAGAAAATATAACTAGAAAAAAATCCACGCGGACCAGGCAGCAGACGGAACTCGAATCCGCACCCTTCGCAATCCGGGCGAATGCACTGACCAATTATGCTACCGCGGCCCTCACTGACCGCGTCGAAATTCTTCTAGCCATTCTTAAGCTGCAAGGCAACGCCATCTCTTCGCATTATAGGTAACCCACAATGTCAATATTAACAAATTTATTCCATTTTCAAAGTTATTTTATCAGTTCTATCAATTTCTATGTTACGGGTTCCCCGTACAATAGTGTTAGGTACTTCATGATTATATGACGATGTCCAATGACACGAACTTTGCCCATTTTTCTTGTTCTGTTCTGTACTTAAGTAGAACTCATATTAAAATTAAGTGGAATTGAACCAAAACAAGCCAAAGCAATGCCACATCTAAACGAAAGTTACGATTGAAAAATATCCGGCTTCCCTGATTGAACTGCAGATTGCTTCTCAGACTCGGAATGAATTTATAGAAAGTTGAAATGCAAGTAGGATACTCCATTTTCTAAACGTAGGTAATGACTAGCAACCGTATACTGAATTCACAGTAGATACGCATAAAACTTTCTTCATTATTTGTTTTGATTATGGTATTTTTAAATATAATCTAAATTTTACAATAGTTAGATTAGCAATTCTCAGAATTTTTTAATATTTACGTTACTGTTTGAAACATAGTAAAATTTCATCGTAGTCAATGCTATGCGAATGTGTACAATTTTGACAAGTGGTTACTTTTTTATAGTATTTAAACTGTTGTAACATATATGATGTCGCATCTGTTAAATTGCGTTAACAATAATTCATTTCTGAACAAACGTGTTTTATGTTGCCATTTCTTGCTCTACATGAAATTTTATATACATATTCAGTAGGTCTGAGAGTCGGACTACATCTATTTTTCATCCCCCTAAATGTTAAGGGTGGTCCACCCTTAAATCTTTTTTTGGACATTTTTTTTTTATTTTTTTATGATACATCATACTAAAATACATACAACCCTAAATTTTCACGCTTCTAACACCAACCCCTATTATTTAGCGGTACGAAGTTCGCTGGGACAGCTACTTAAAAAACAAAATTGTATTTCTTCTTCCCATTTTGATCAAGACATGTTGTTATATTCGCTTCTTTTCATTAAATATTTCAGTAAAAGTTATTATAAAGTGCCTAATTTTCTATAGATAATGGTACGGAACCCTTCGTGCACGAGTACGACTCGCATAGGGTTCTGTACCTCGAAAGTAAAAACGGAACCCTTCTACTAATTTTGTTGTCCGTCCGTCCGTCCGTTCGTCTGTCAAGACTCTTTTTCTCAGGAACGCATTGAGGTATCAAATTGAAATTTATATCAAATACTCAGGTCTACTCTCCCTTGGAGCTGTGAAAAAATCAAACTTCTAAGCCAACGCAATCAAAATATACAGCCGTTTGCAGCAAATTTTCAAAACTCGCAAGGGAATCAAAACCTACAAGTGTACTTCCCGTGAACTCAGAATCTCGAAATTTGGTACGAAGTAACGTAATTATAGCACAGATAAAGGAAACATTGCGAAAAGCGTAAATTTTACGCAACCCTCGGTGAAAAATTAAAATGAAAAAATTCTTTAACGCTTACAAGTTCCATACCTATAAACATGTTGTTGAGTATTCCCTTTTAAGTATTACTAGCAAACCAGTGAACCAAATGTTCACCAAAACATGATTTAAAAAAATGTATTTAATTAATTGAGAACTTCGGAGATTTTGTGTGGATTCGTTTGAAATTCGTGATTTCTCGAAAACCGGAAGTGCTACGTTACTCAAATCCGGTTTGTAGTCTTATCAGACTATTCTTAACTTATAACTTAAATATTCTCTTTATCTATCTCTTACGGTTATAGGCCGCTGAAACAGCACCACAGACAGACAGACAGACGGACTTGTCTAATAGATAAGAAATACTTGTATTAGGGGATACTCGCTCTTTCGTCAATTTTTACATTGAACTTTACTATAACAATTATTGACAATTAAAATTATTTCCGAAAGAAAATTAGACAAGTTCTAATTGATCCCGCCCCCGTAGCATGAGCACCACAATTCGGTGCGCGAGTCCGTCTCGCACTTCGCCGGTTTTTTTTAAATGACGCTGCTAAGAACGTACCTAAAGCTGATGAGATTTTTTGCGTCAATTTTCCTATCAGCTAAAAGTCGTCCATAATGCGCAGTGGTAGGAAAAAGTTATTGGACAATTCGAAATACCTTTCACTGAGTCAATTCGAATGAATAATGATAATGAAGTCTTTTAAAGCAAACATCCTGCTGATTGATTGAACCATTGATTTGAATAATTTATATTTTATGAATAGGCTTACTTTTGTCATACTTAGTAGGTACAGAGGCATTGGAGTGGAAAAGATAAAAAGCATTATTACTATGTTATTTTTGAAGTGAAAACTTCTTAAATGGCGTTGTACACTTTTTTTGTATGGGTAAAAAATGTTAAAAATGACACGAGGGCTGATCGCGTCACAGGCCAAGTGTCCTGATCGTAAGACGAAAACAATAGAATAGGAAAGGTTTTTCACTTTCAATATATTGGACGAATCATAGTAATATTTTATTTTATCGTATTATAATAATAATATAACTCTGTATCTAGGACGTCCAGGTGGCAGCTTTATTACGAAGAAAATGCATTTTTTTACAATAGATGTCGCTAGGTGCGCTTAAATGAGAAATTCTGAGAGATAAACTTTTTAATGTAATATAAATTGTCATGTTTGTGTACGATAGCGCAATGAATAAATATTATATTCTACCATATAAATGATAATACTTTTATAGTGATAATTAAAGAAATTCATGTAAAATTATTCCCTAACCATTCCAAAATATCAAAAATACACAACGTTAATATTCAAGTTTTATCTTCTGCCGGCACTCCCGGAGTGCAACCCGTCGTTTTTTTTATTCATATATAAC